TCAAAAAATGAATAAGAACTGGAGTCCCAAAGGTGCTTTTCCAAAAGGTCACTGGACTTTGTCAGCAAGATTTGGAAACTAAAAGTGGATCCAGATGAGGCAATGGTTTCTTATGATGTCACTTCATTTTTCACCTGTATCCTAAAGCTGTCACGGTAGTGAGGAAATGACCGCTACAAGACAGCACATTAGGTGACAAAACTAACCACAGCCCATGCTGCACCTCCGCCTACAAAAACAAGAAAGTTCAGTTGCCTTTTGAAAAAAGCACTTTTGGGACAACCACGACCTGGACAATTGACAATCTCTATAGACATAAGTGGAGAATGCTGTAGATCAGACATGTCAAACTCGCGACGTCACATGATGCTACGCAACGTATCAGAGCCTTTTCGCCATTGCCGGCAATGGGGTGGGCGTGGTTTCCCGATGACGCGTCTGGCCCGCGGACCGGCAGTTTGACACCCCTGCTGTAGATGGATAGATGCCTCTACTTCTTATATAACAGGACTAAATTAGATTGCCTATATAGTTGTTCAGTATATGAGTTTGTGTAGATTGCATATATAGATTTCAAAATTAAACTGTGTTCTAGTAAACTTGTGCAAAACCTTTCAATTCAGATTGCATTGAATTTGAAATATGCTTCTAAAATGATTTAAAATACCTTGTTCTGTGATTGAAGCAACATAATGCTGCGCAGGGAGCAACTGTTTTATTATTTATTTATTTGATTTGTATGGCCGCCTATCTTAACAAATGATTCTGGGAGGCGAACAATATCACATAAAAAAACAAATACGCCATAAATACAAACTTTAAAATGCATAGCAGCCAAAGAAGGCATCACAATCAACAATGCTAATGCATTCAAGGGGGTCTTTGTGTCCTTTTACACACAGGTCTGGGCACAAGAGTTTTGTACTAGAAATAGTCCAAATTCAGAATGTTTTGAATCAAAACACATCACTTAAGCCAGAGGCCCCAACCTTCTGGGCACCAGGGACCGGTTCTGTGGAGAAAGGTTTTCCACGGACTGGAGAGTGCATGTTTTACGTGCTGCCTGCATCCCATGGATGGGGCTTTGCTTGTTTGTGTGGACCGGTTGCTGGCATGCTGCAGCCCGGTACCGGTCCACAGACCGGGGGTTGGGGACCCCTGACTTAAGCCATTCTATTTTACTATTTTAAATACTGACTGGCAATTGTTCTCTAGACTTTTACAAAGCAATTTCTAACCTAGAGATTGAACTTGAGACTTTCTGTATACTGTGTATCATCACAACAACATAATTTGGACCCAATTCAAGTTTTCAGTATTTGAAATTCAAGCAACAGGATCTGACTGAGTTATCCAGTTCTTCATTTTATTGAATGTGTTCTTAGACTCTATACAGATTGTGCTATCAGAGTACATCACACAAAAACAAAGAAATCAATTGTTAAACCATATGCCTCTTCTCTTTTAAACTGAACGGTTGCATACAGTACTATATGTTCCTTACAAAATATAGTTCCATATCCTTATTTACTATATGTTCCTTATTTGTTTTCTAAAGGCACTAAAGAGCTTGATGAAAATTTTAATGACAACATAAAATTTGCAAAGTTAAAAATACACATGCTATTTTTACACGAATGTATCTAATTTTGCAGTCGTGTGTGTGTGTGCATTCCTTTTTGGAAAATGAAATCCACGTTACTTGCTCTCTTTTTCTCTTCATGATGCAGACCAGCTCAGACCCGTCTTTCTGGTTTGCGTTTTTTTTTTTTTTTTGAGCAAGGGATTTGCAGGACAAATTGTGTTTTTGTTTAATCTCTTCTTGATTGGGAGATACTGTTTCAGGTTTAGAAGTACCTTGGAATTTTTGAGCCGCAATTTGCTGTTTTTTCATTCAATATAAGCCTCTGTGAATCCAATGTTGATTTCTATCCCAGACAGAAAAAAAAATGGTCTTTTGAAATCCACTCTCAGATGCAGAACTTAACAAGAATTCTTGGGCCAATAATTCTCTCTTAGTTCAACTTATAGTACAGGATAATTATTGTGGGGGAAAATGGAGAAGGTGTATACCACTTCAAACTCTTGAAGAAAAGGTAGAATAGAAATCTCCCCAATAAAAATGAATTACTGCTGGTATGAGTCAAGTAGAACTGTTCGGGTTTTGAGTTAAAGTTTAAGTTTGTGGTATATAAAATTATATGGTAATATATAGAGAAACAAGCTCGAGATTGTATAATATTGTATTATATAGGGGAATATATGTATATATATATAGAGAGAGATGTATATATAGAACTTTAAATATGATAAGGAACGAATTGTTAGGATTATATATACTGGAACGTCATGTCATGTCCTTTTTTGTTTTAATTGTTTTATTAATAAAAAACTTTTTTAAAAAAAACGAACAAAAGCAGAGGTTGTAATAATGAAGAAGAGTCTAATAATAAAGACCGTACTAGTATATTGTTTAATTGATACTGTTCCATTAAATCAAGCAAAGAATGGGATTTAACAGTGTAAATAACTCCTTCTGATTCAGTGAAAATATACAATCCTGTTGATCTTCACTTTATCAGCCTGTTGATAATATTATATCAGGTAGAGGTATCAATTGTTCTTCATCCTGTTGATAATATCATGGAGGATAAAGGTATCAATTGGTCTTCATCCTAAAAGCAAAGTATGTGTTATTCTATTTTAGAGGCATCAAGTCTCTGAATATAGTTTGCCACAGAAAAGGGATGAGAAGATCCCAGTGTTTTCAGGACCTGCCAGGAAACAACATGGGAAAACAGAATACTGGGCTAGATGAGTTTTTGATCTAATCCAGCAAATCTATTTTTAACAATTTCACAATAAGCTCCAGAAGACAGATGCCGTAGCTGCTTATCCTATAACCTTGTCGTTATTATTATTATTATTGTCGTTATTATTATTTCTTGGGCCCACAGAAAACTGAGTAGGACAGGTAAGACTTTTGCAGAAGTGATAAAAGTTGCAAGTAAACAAAACAGAGTCAAGGGTATTGTAAATCTCTTCGGTTGGTTTCAAAAGCATTATTTTAAGATTTTGGTCACCGCTTCTATTTACAGCTAACTCAGGTTGCTAGAGGGGGGAAAATAATGATATTAATTTTGTAAAAAGTAGAAGATACAGATGACCTTGACAGAAATAGGCAAGATCCGTTACCAAAGCAAAGAGGGGGAAAAACAAATTGTGAGTCCAAAACAAGCAGAAAATGCATGGAAACAGCTGGGACAGAAATCTTCCTAATGAGCCTAAGAAGGGAGAGAAATAAAGCAAGTCAGACTTACAAGATTCTGTTACTATAGCCAATAATAAAAAAACAGTCTCCATAAAAGTAGTTTTGGCCTTCCTGTGGAGTTGGTTTCTTGGTTTTCCTACCTAGTGGAGCCGACATTTTGCTGGATACGACAATAAGACAATAGCTTAGGCTGTACTCTTAGCTCTGGATTTACTAGGAATTGAGCATCACTAACCCAATGCCTCAATGTAGAATTGAGCTATTTGCACGTTACTTAGAAATAATCTTCACAGATTTCATCATTTATTAGATTTATATTCCACCTTTCATTCAAGAACTCATTGTAGCGGATATATTATTTTCTCCTATTTTTCACCACTATAACCTATGGGGATAGTTGGAATGCAGTTCCACAGCTCAACCACTACACAACATTGGCTGATCATAGGGGCCAACTTTATAATAAATGATAGTGTTGTGCTGCTAATTTTGTAAATGAGGTGGGGTCTTAGAGAGATGTAATATACATATTTTACTTGTGCCTATCCCTGCCTTGTTAAAATTAACAGTTGAAGTACATTTCTAATTTTGTTCAGTATTTAGCAGGGATATTATGGGGATTTCAGAGTGGGTTGATAATTTCTTCTCTTATGAACTTCCATATATTTAATGAGGGTTCACCTTTATATCATGTAGGATAGTGTCTCAGACCATACCTACTGATATTCAAGTTTCCTTTAGATCCCCTGAGCTGGGTCAGGATGAAAAATATTGTGCATTCATTCTTTTGTTTTTTACCCACCATACACTCGGTTGAATGCCTAACAGTTTTTGTTTTAAAGCTTTTGCAAAGCTGTAGTTAGTTTCAGCATTCCAGTGAGATACTCTTGCAGTTGTGAAGGTAATTCAAGATACTAATTTAATGTTGTCTTTGTACCTTCATCTCTGATGGAAAAGCATCATTTTCATTGCTCTTAATTGCAAAAAATGTCATATATTTACACATGAAGAAAGATGTCAGGAATGTGGCAAGAGAGAATTCATTGACATATCAAAAAGGTCACAGAATGTATAGATCAGTGGTGGCGAACCTATGGCACGTGTGCCAGAGGTGGCACTCAGAGCCCTCTCTGTGGGCACACGTGCCGCTGCCCCAGCAGAGTTCGCCAAAGTAGCAAGTACATGGCATTTGGAAGTGACAGGGCAGGAAGTGAGTGAGCAAGCAGCATTGGCCCCACGGGGATGCCCCGGAGATGGCGAGGGACTGGCCCCGGCAACACTCACCCAGTCTGTCGTGACCACTGCAGCCACGCCCACCCAGTGGGCCACACACCCTGCCCCCCCTGAGGGCACCACAATGCTGATGCAGCCCTGGCACTTTGCGATAAATAAGTGGGTTTTGGATTGCAGTTTGGGCACTCGGTCTCTAAAAGGTTCGCCATCACTGGTATAGATGATATTTATTTGTATGTATATTTGTTAAAAGATCTCAAATGCAAATCCAACAATATGCAACCTTGCTAAAATTCATCTTATTAACAGCAGGACTGGAAAATGTTAGCCAGTAAAATGCCAATTTTAAGGTAGGGTTTGTGGGGCATTTCCCTTTTTGCCTTTGAACTTATTTTTATTATTATCCAGTACAACTCCAAAATAAGTAGGATTGCCAATTTTTGCTGAGTGTAGAAATTGTCTTTTGCTGATACTACTGTCTTTTTTTTTAAAACAGAAACCTGAGCCACAATAAACTGACCGAGATTGATCCTTCTGCCTTCACAAAGCTGCCAAAACTACGGGAAGTGTAAGTATTTTCTGTCTAAAGGACTTTTCATCCTGGCTGCTCTCTGTCTTCACTTCCATCCTGGCTGGGACAGCAGCAGGAAAAGGTATACAGTTTCCTAGGACGTGACTCCATTGTTCCTCCAGCTTGCATCAGCAAATTAAATCTGAGCTTTTGTTTTTCTTTCATATAGTACCTGGGTGCTGTTTAAAAAATTAACAGTCAATTAGTGGAACAGAGTGTCTCAATTAAACTGCAATGTCTTTATTGGAAATCATTGGTGTTGTCTGTTCTTCCCCCGCTCTCTCCGTGTCTATATTTCATAATCCCAGGGATAGCCAGGTAATCACACCAAGCTGCATGGATCTGTTTTCCTCCAATACGAAGTAGAGTCTGCTGTGACATCTAATGCTAATCTTTTCCTGCTGTCTCAAGAAGAAAAGGTGTAGTGTTGGTACCATGGGATAATTACCTTCCCTCCTTCCCTCCCACCCTCTGCTCTCTAGCAGGAGAGACAAAGAGCTTCTTCCCAAGGCTGGTTTGAAGAGCTATCCGTCCTTGAGTCAGCAGAAAACTTATCCTAGCAGGAAAGTGGCTGCCCCATTATTCTGTCTGTCTGTCTGTCTTGTCTATCAGTTAATTTCTCAGCATTCACATTAGGTAATAGATTCACCAGTTTTCAACTATAGTCTCACCACACCATAATGTACTCTAGATGATGAGAACTTATATAGTTGCCCATCTCATAAAGCTTTACTCTGGGCAGGGTACAGCAACTGATTAAAATAAATATATAAAAAGAGCCATTATTAAAATATTTAAACCTCCCCCCCCTCAAAAAAAAATATACAAGAGAGAGTGAACTTTAACCCTGGAGCCATCTCAAGTTTTCATCTGTCCCCTGGAGCCCCCAGATCTGATGGAATAAATTATTAAATAATAACATATTTTACCCTAATACTAATCTTTAGAGATGTTTGAAAAGATGTGTCTTGCTGTGCAGGCATGTTACACTAATAATATATTCTGCTATATTGTTGTTGTTAATTGCAAAGTCGTGTCCGACCCATCGCAATCCCATGGACAACGTTCCTCCAGGCCTTCCTGTCCTCTACCGTCTTCTGGAGTCCATTTAAGCTCACACCTATTGCTTCAGTGACTCCATCCAGCCACCTCATTCTCTGTCGTCCCCTTCTTCTATTGCCCTCAATCTTTCCCAGCATTAGGCTCTTCTCCAGTGAGTCCTTCCTTCTCATTAGGTGGCCAAAGTACTTGAGTTTCAACTTCAGGATCTGGCCTTCTAAAGAGCGGTCAGGGTTGACCTCTTCTAGGACTGACCAGTTTGATCGCCTTGCAGTCCAAGGAACTTGCAGGAGTCTTCTCCAGCACCATAATTCAAAGGCCTCAATTTTTTGGCGCTCAGCCTTTCTTATGGTCCAACTTTCACATCCATACATTGCAACTGGGAAAACCATGTCCTTGATTATACGCACTTTTGTTGGCAGGGTGATGTCTCTGCTTTTTAGTATGCTGTCTAGATTTGCCATAGCTTTCCTCCCCAGGAGCAAGCGTCTTTTAATTTCTTGGCTGCAGTCCCCATCTGCGGTGATCATGGAGCCCAGGAAAATAAAATCTGTCACTACCTCCATTTCTTCCCCATCTATTTGCCAGGAATTGAGAGGGCCGGATGCCATGATTATTATAATTGTATAGCAATATATAGCTATATATTGCTATACAATTAATTATTTCAAATAGTTAATTATATTGCAAACAGTACAGGTAATAGTAGTAGTAATAATAATAATAATACAACAACAACAATAATAATATAGTATAGATTGCATATATAGATTTCAAAACTAAACTGTGTTCTAGTAAACATGGTATCTGTAGTGTATGCAGAAGATTAGGAAATGGTACTTTATTGATATTCTTTGATAGTTCGCAACTTAGTTGTGATGATTTGGATACCTCCTTTTTGCAACTGCATACAGTACCCTTAACTATTATACTATTACATTCACATATCAATGAAACTTTCCATTTCTTGTGAAGTGGCTTTTGCTGCTACAGCTTCACAATGAAGAATGCAAGCAACTGATTAAAAAATGATTAAAAAAACCCCAACATAGTAGCCACAATGTTCTTTTAATCTGCATTGGTTAGAGCAGGAGTAGGCAACCTCGGCTCTTTTATGACTCATGGACTTCAACTCCCAGAATTCCTGAGTCAGCATAGGGTTAGAGCTTCACTTGCACCATTGTGAAAGCCATCTTGACTTTTTTGACTACACTCCATGGTTACCCCTGAATGCGAAGTTGATACTTTGCACATGAACTGGTGATGTGACACAGGGAAGGCAGGACAGTATACAATGTTTGCAATAGTGGTGAACATCTGTAGCTTGGGTGTAGGATGAGGGTGAAGGTTCGTTCTCCGAGCTTGTGGGTTGGTTTCTGAACATTTCGTTACCAGACTAGGTAACATCTTCAGCAGAGTTTAGGGGATGTCAGTGTTCTTCTGTTTCTAAGGGCTTCAGGTTTATGAAGTGTTATATAAGAGTAGCAGAACTATTTAGAATCAGACCACAGTCCCTAAGTCAGTGATGGCGAACCTTTTAGAGACCGAGTGCCCAAACTGCAACCCAAAACCCACTTATGCATCGTTGGGTGCCGGTTGGGTGTAGCCCATTGTCTGGGTATGGCCCATTGGGTGGGCGTGGCCAATTGGGTGGGTGTGACTGCGGTGGTAACGGCAGACTGGGTGGAACTAAAAAGTTAAATCAATCAATTCCAACTTTGCAAGATCTTTTTTTTCCCCGTGAGAAGTTGAAATTGACTGATTGATTGAACCTTTTTTTTTGTGCACACGGCGGCGGAAGCCTCTGGCACCCGTGCCATAGGTTCGCCACCACTGCCCTAAGTAATCTAGCATGCTGTTCCCACAGTGGCTAACCAGATATTTCCTGTTTTGTACCTATCATGAATCTACCCAGGATTGCAATGAGATATATATAGGATTAATCCATTCAATTAATAACTAAAATAAAACAAATGATTCTGCTTGAAGGTCACAAGAAAATCGTAAGTACAAAACCCCACTCCACCCAGTGATTAGCATTGGAGATCATACACCATTGGACTACTTAATAACAACAACAACAACAACAACAATAATAATAATAATAATAATAATAGAGTTGGAAGGGACCTTGGAGGTCTTCTAGTCCAGCCCCCTGCTCAGGCAGGAAACCCTATACCATTTCAGATAAATGGCTGTCCAGTCTCTCCTTAAAAACTTCCAGTGCTGGAGCATTCACAATTTCCGGAGGCAGGTTGTTCCATTGATTAATTGTTCTAACTGTCAGGAAATTTCTCCTTAGTTCTAGGTTGCTTCTCTCCTTGATTAGTTTCCATCCATTGCTTCTTGTCCTGCCCTCAGGCGCCTTGGAAAACAGCTTGACTCCCTCTTCTTTGTGGCAGCCCCTGAGATACTGGAACACTGCTATCATGTCCCCCCTCGTCCTTCTCTTCATTAAACTAGACATGCCCAATTCCAGCAACCATTTCTTATATGTTTTAGCCTCCAGTCCCCTAATCATCTTTGTTGCTCTTCTCTGTACTCTTTCCAGAGTCTCAACATCTTTTTTACATCATGGTGACCAAAACTGGATGCAGTATTCCAAGTGTGGCCCCACCAAGGCATCGTAAAGTGGCATTAACACTTCACGTGTTATGTTGTATGAATCTTGCTTTTTGTCTGAATATTCCCCTCCACTCTTTTTACACGATGTTTAATTAAATGACATTTTTTTCTTTTTAGCAATTTATTTTTGTAAGCTGAAAAGCTAAAAATTCCTGCAGTTTTTATCTATCACGGCTCTTGAACACCGCATGGAATGAGAATTTGTGGCTGTCTAGAAGTTGTTGAACTATCCCACCTGACGGCATAAAGGGCGCTTGAAAGTCTTAACACTTGAGCACAATGTCTAATTTCAGAGTTCACAAAACCCTAAGCTAGTTTTAATCATAATCAGGGCCAAATTGCATAAAGTTCCTTTCCCAAACTAATTTTTTTTAACTATTTTGCCTTAAAAAAAAAGAGAGTAAAATCTAAGTGCCTTTCAGTGACTCCTCAAGAGAACTGTGCTATTTTTAAGTAGGATCCATTTCAACATGACATTAGCCTGGCAACTAGGTTGTAAATATTTTATACTGAGTGGCACTCCCCCTCCCCGTTACCACACGTAGTATCACGATCAAAGGGTTGGGAAGAGAGCTTTTAGCTGTAGTTGCTTCAGAGAGTTGTTCAGCCTGTCTTACCTTTGCTTGTTATTTAAGAGAAGCTCCTGATCACATGCCAAAGCACCTTACCCAACAATATGCCAATATTTAACAGCAAAATAAACTAACAACCAAGAATTTACTGTTTAGATTGCTAGTAAGTTCTAACTTGTCCTGCCAGGTTATACCTGCCAATCAACACCCTATAGAAGCTTCTGTTATTGAATATACTTGAGGTCCTTCCTGTTTGCATTAACAAGCCTTAGGAAAGAATTCACGAACGAAGCCATTCGTCATCATTGAAAACCCTACTTATGTTCCAATGTTCATGTGGAGCTCTTTCATAAAAAGATGCTCATTTACACATCTTTTGTGTATGTATCGATAAAGGAGATGCCATTTTTGAGTTCCAAGCAGAATTTGTGAACTTCTGGAGAACATCAGGATGTTTGTTATCTATCTTCATGGCACAGCATTCCATAGATATATAAGTTTAATAATCTTCTTCTTGGTTTCTGGAAGGTTTTATTGAACCAAAAATACCCACATGTATTTTTTGAAGAAAACTGTTTATACTTGTAAATGATTGTTCTTGCTATGGTTTATGGTTGGTTAATTGGATATATGCATTACTGCTATATCTTCTTATATACTGCTTTATCTTTTATATACTGCTAGAACATTTTCAACATAGCATCCTTCAGATATGAGGGTTATTCATTTTTTTTAAAATAG